TGCAGGACATACTAAACGTGAAACCTTTAGCAAGAATTGAAATTAATATTCACTCTGCCGCAGAGGTCTTACCATCATGAATATGAGAGATGATACTAATGCAACGCAAAGGAGGTGATCTTATATACACCGTGATTTTCGTTTTAAGGTCAAGCAACATCGATTTAGATGACAGTGGTCACTGTTATGTGTGGATATGGACACGCATACATACACAAAAGCGCCACTTTTCCGTTTGAAATTTTGTGAGGGTGAAAATTTCCCTGCTCTTTTTTTTAGGCAGGTGAACATGTTTCTACTTACATTTGATGTTAGAAAGTATGAATTAGAATGATATCTTATAAGCCTCTTATGCATCACTGTTTATGATCTATTGATGAGCCGAATATCGTGCCCAATGTGTAGGAGTATCCTTAAAAAAAAGCCTGTCTCCTATGCTAGTGGTAACAAACTCCATCTGGAATTTGATGGTGAACTGGCGATGGTTTATTTTCCAGATATATAGCATTAACGCCAAGGAACAAGGCCAAATGTAAGCAATTTATTGCCATGTATGAGGTCTACTTATATTACACAGATGCTCCGGGAACACATATGCAGGATCCACTTTTAGCAGCCTTGCCAGGAAAGCGGTCAAACCATGGGGTCAATTGAGGATGAACGAACTGAATGGCATGCGAATTAATATCATTTCCAGTTCAGAATATTGATTGTGAAACAAATCCGTCTTGTGAGTAAGACCTGCAGCCTGGTAAAAGGCTATCATTATTGAAATATAAAAGGTTTAAAAAAGTAAATTCCAACAGTAGAGCGATAGTATTAAGCGTCAATGCCAGTTAGTGACAAATATGCTAAATGAAAAATAATCAGGTAACATAATATTCCACTACACTTAAATGTGCATCGAAACACTAGTAGTGAAATATCCGCTCGCACCAAAACACGCATGACCATCCAGACAAATCCACATGAAAAGACATTCCCGCTTGCACAAAGCCTAAGTCTGGAAAATATCGACCCACGAAAAAAAACATTAATTAAGGGTACAGTCCAGTACATACATATCCACACACCTAAATAAATGAGTGCATATATAGTTATATAGTACATACATATATAAATATGTATGTATATGTGTATATACATATTTATGCGTATATACACACGTGTGTGTGTGCGAGTGTGTGCGTATGTATGTCTGTACATGCGTGCGTGCGTGTATGTATATCAAGCACACGCATACACACATATACATACATACGTATATATATGTATGTATATTTATTTCTTTATTTATATAGGGGCGCGCTCACACACAGATATGCTCATATATCTATTCAGCCTTATGGTAATAGTGTTTAACAGGATGATTTATTTATAGATTTATAAATACTCACATACAAATACATATGCATGTATTCACTCTGATGTGAATAGTGTTTAATAAAAGGTTTAGAAAAAAAGAGATATTCTAGATAGTCGTATTATTTATTTCGTTTAAATGCATTCAGTAAAACGGGGAAGGTAGTGAGGGATTTGTGCTTTAAGTCCGTAAAAGCCACACCCTCTGATGATGGTACATGTGAGGAGGCTAGTGATTTGGTGGTTTCCTTTGTTAAAAATGCTGCTGGCCTGTTTGTCTGTATTTGTTTCATTGATGGTATTTTCTAATTATATACACAGAGGATATATGTAGATATATATATGTGTGTGTGTGTGTGTGACTGCCATCATTATTACCATTACTATCATTGTAATTATTACTATCATCATTATTTATACCATCGTATATTATCAATATTATCAATACCCATACTATTACTATCATTGTAGAATCGAGAATATCCCCTGTTCCCGTTAATCTTCATATGTTAACGCCTCTAAAAATAGTTCCATTATTAAATAATTTATTCTCAAAACATACATAACATTCATTTACTAGAACATATGTTTCTCCTGTAGATGCAGTTATTTCCCGGAGGGCGGCAGGTAACTGCCAGACACACCGCCGCCTGAACCTCCGAAAGACCCGCCGCCTCCGCCGCCAAAGGATCCTCCTCCAAACCCTCCTCCACCGCCTCCGCCAGAGCCTCCGAAGTTATTGCTTGGGCCATTGTAAGTGTTGCTCACTCCCCCGCCAATGGATCCTCCTCCACCACCGAAGCGACCGCCACCTCCGCCGAACGATCCTCCTCCGCCACCGAAACGACCGCCGCCTCCGCCGAACGATCCTCCTCCGAAGGATCCTCTGCCCCCTCCGACAGATCCACGGCCACCTCCTCCGAAGCTAGTACTTGGTCCGCTGTAACTTGTACTTACTCCTCCAGAGGACCCGCCACCGAAGGATCCGCCACCACCTCCGAAAGATCCTCCTCCGAAGGATCCACCTCCCCCAAAGGACCCACCGCCCCCTCCTCCTCCACCGAAGTTATTGGTTGGTCCTCCATAACTGGTACTTATTCCTCCTCCACCGCCACCTCCAGAACCTCCTCCAAAAGATCCTCCCCTGAAGGATCCTCCTCCGAAGGACCCGCCTCCTCCTCCAGAACCTCCTCCAAAGGATCCTCCCCCGAAGGATCCTCCTCCGAAGGACCCGCCTCCTCCTCCAGAACCTCCGAAGCTATTAGTGGGTCCTCCGTAGGAACGACTGATGCCACCAGAGGATCCTCCCCCACAGCCTCCGCCGAGGCAGCTGCTGTAGGCCGAACCGACCAGCAAGCCCAACACCACCAACGCACTCCGTCTCTGAAAGCAACAGGGTATCTTGCCTTACCTGAGCTGTAATATGAGAACCCTTTTACCTATCTGTATGTAGGACATACTAAACTGTGAAACCTTTAGCAAGAATTGAAATCAATATTCACTCTGCCGCAGAGGTCTTACCATCATGGATATGAGAGATGATACTGATGCAGCGCAAAGGAGGTGATCTTATATACACCGTGATTTTCGTTTTAAGGTCAAGTAACAGTGTTTTCGATGACAATGATCACTGTTATCTGCGGATATGGTCACGCACACATGCTAGTTTTTTTTTTTTTTTTTTTTTTTTTTTTTTTTTTTTTTTTTTTTTTTTACGCAGGCGAACATTCCCCTTCTTACATTTGATGTTGAAAGGTATGAATTAGATTGATAATATCTTATCAGTCTCTTATGCATCACTGTTTAGGATCTATTAATGAGCCGAATATCGTGCCCAGCGTGTAGGAGTCTTCCCCTCTGCTGATGGTAACAAGCTCCATCGCGGATTTGATGATGAACTGGCGATGAATCATTCTCTTTGTTCCATGGAACAATATCAAATCTACTTAGATTACACAGGTGGTGCGGGAACACAGGATCCACTTCTATCAGCCTTGCCAGGAGAGCGGTCAATCCACGGGGTCAATTAAGAATGGAAACCAAGGGGTCAATTAAGTATGGACACCATGGGGTCAATTAAGGATGGAAACCAAGGGGTCAATTAAGGATGGACGAGAAGAATGGATTTGAATTAACATAATTACCGGTTCAGAATGTTGATTACGAATAGAAAAAAAAAGTTTTCATTCTTGAGTAGGACCTGCAGTCTGGTAAAAGGATATTACTAAAAGATAAAAGGTACTATACTATGAAGCGTGAATGCCAGTTGGTGACAACTGTGCTAAATTAAATTAATCAAGTATCAAAATATTTCGCCACACTTAAATGTGCATGGAAACACCAGTAGTGAAATATCCGCTCGCACCAAAACACGCATGCTCATATACACAAATCCATGTAAAGACATTCCAGCTTGCGCAAAGCCTAAAAGCCCGGAAATATCGCACAAAAAAACACTACTTAAGTTACCTGCGTAATTGGAATACATAAGGATAAGCGAAGCTGAGCCTCGCCCGGGCTATGTCCATGTGGGGAGCCTGGGTTGTGTTGACTAATGCCGACTCGCTAACGTGTGTCAGCTGGTGCTGACTCGGCAGAGCTTCGTCCTTACCCGCCGTGGTGCCCAGCCACAGCAGTAACCTCCAGGCGACAATTGCAACTTCTCGCGCCTGTGCGGGGCGCAAACAGCCGACCCCTCGGATGAGAGGCCGACACGGAATCACTGTACTAGCCCAGAGGCTTATTGGAGTATAGTCCAGTACATACAAACATATTCACACACGAAAATAAATAAATTTAGGCTAGAGATTTGTCGGTTTCCTTTGTTAAATATGCTGCTGACCTGTTTTCTGTGTTTGTATTATGGAGTTTTCTGATTATATTCACAAAGAATATATGTATATATATATATATATATATATATATATATATATATATATATATATATATATATGTGTATATATGTGTGTGTGTGTGTATAACTGTCACCATTATTACTGTTGCTATCATTGTAATAATTACTGATATTGGCATTATTCATATTATTTTACATTATCAGTATTATCAATAACCATATTATTTTATCATTACAAAATCGAGAATATTCCCTGTTCTCGTTAATTTTCAAATATTAACGACTCTAAAAATCGTTCCATTGTTAAATAATTTATTCTCAGAAAATTCATTACATCCATTTGATAGAATATAATCTCCTGTAGATGCAGTTATTTCCCGGAGGGCGGCAGGTAACTGCCAGACAAACCGCCGCCTGAACCTCCGAAAGACCCGCCGCCTCCGCCGCCAAAGGATCCTCCTCCAAACCCTCCTCCACCGCCTCCGCCAGAGCCTCCGAAGTTATTGCTTGGGCCACTGTAAGTGTTGCTCACTCCCCCGCCAAAGGATCCTCTTCCGCCAGAAGATCCGCCACCGAAGCGACCGCCGCCTCCGCCGAACGATCCTCCTCCGAAGGACCCTCTGCCGAAGGATCCTCTACCCCCTCCGACAGATCCACGGCCACCTCCTCCGAAGCTGGACCTTGGTCCGCTGTAACTTGTACTTACTCCTCCAGAGGACCCGCCACCGAAGGATCCGCCACCACCTCCGAAAGATCCTCCTCCGAAGGATCCACCTCCCCCAAAGGACCCACCGCCCCCTCCTCCTCCACCGAAGTTATTGGTTGGTCCTCTATAACTGGTACTTATTCCTCCACCGCCACCTCCAGAACCTCCTCCAAAGGATCCTCCCCCGAAGGATCCTCCTCCGAAGGATTCTCCCCCAAAGGATCCTCCCCCGAAGGATCCTCCTCCTCCTCCAGAACCTCCGAAGTTATTAGTGGGTCCTCCGTAGGAACGGCTGATGCCACCAGAGGATCCTCCCCCACAGCCTCCGCCGAGGCAGCTGCTGTAGGCCGAACCGACCAGCAAGCCCAACACCACCAACACACTCCGTCTCTGAAAGCAACAGGGTATCTTGCCTTATCTGAGCTGTAATTTGAGAACACTTTTACCTATCAGTATGCAGGACATACTAAACATGTAACTTTTTATAAGAATTGAAATCAATATTCACTCTGCCGCAGAGGTCTTACCATCATGCATAAGAGAGATGATACTGAGGCTGTGCAAAGGAGGTGATCTTATATACACCGTGATTTTCATTTTAAGGTCAAGCAACATCGTTGTAGATGACAGTGGTCACTGTGGATATGGACACACACACATACACACAAGCGCCATTTTTCCGTTTGAAGTTTCGTGCAGGTGGAAATTTTCCTGCTCGTTTGTTTAGGCAAGCGAATATTCCCCTTCTTACATTTAATGTTGAAAGGTAAGAATTAGACTGACCATATCTTATAAGTCTCTTATGCATCACTACTAATGATCTACTGATGAGCCGAATATCGTACCCAACGTGTACATAAACGTCGCAAATTTGATGATGAACTGGCGATTATTTATTTTCCATATATGTAGCATTAACGCCAAGGAACAAGGCCAAATGTAGGCAATTTATTGCCAGGAATGAGGTGTACTTATACTACACAGATGCTGCGGGAACACATATGCAGGATCCATTTCTAGCAGCCTTGCCAGGAAAGCGGTCAATCCACGGGGTCAATTAAGGATGGAAACCATGGGGTCAATTAAGGATGGAAACCAAGGGGTCAATTAAGGATGGAAACCAAGGGGTCAATTAAGGATGGAAACCAAGGGGTCAATTAAGGATGGAAACCAAGGGGTCAATTAGGGATGGACGAGAAGAATGGGATAAGAATTAACATTCTTTCTAGTTCAGAATGTTGACTGTGAATAATAAACTTTTGATTCCTGAGTAGGACCTGCATTCTGGTAAAAGGCTTTCAGTATTAAAAGATAAAAGATTTTAAAAAGTAAATTCCATCAACAGAAAGATAGTATTAAGCGCCAATGCCAGCTACTGACAAATGTGCTAAATGAAAAATAATCAAGTATTATATTTCGCCACACTTAAATGTGCATGGAAACACCAGTAGTGAAATATCCGCTCGCCCCAAAACACGCATGCCCATCCACACAAATCCATGTAAAGACATTCCCGCTTGTTTGCCTGGAAATATCGACCCACGCAAAAAATATTAATTAGCCCATTCGCCCCACGTGGCAAGAATAGATGCTATACCCACTTTGATACACGTTTATTTATTGTATTTACACATAGATGGCTCCACAAGTTCTTAATCACCAAATAGCCAGTTATCAAGAACTACCTATTTCCCCTGTTTACCCTTTTCCTTCAATTTAGGAAAGCTTTTCTTTTGTATCATTTCATTGTGTAAATTATTCTAATGGCAATTTAATAACCATAACATCAATAACAATAATAACAGTATCGATAGCAATGGCATTAATTATCCCGCCAATAGAATGAATGGGAAAATCAGGATCGGTAGCTAGGGCCTACTGATAGACTCCTTGCCGGCTGAGCACATGTGGAGCCATATCTGTATGTAACAAAATTCCCCAAAAACTACAGGGGACAGAACATAAATCCGAGGCGAATGGGTTAACTTACTTGCGTTGTAATGAATGGGATACAGTCCAGTACATACATACATATCCACACACGTAAGTAAATAAACCAGTACATATATATATATATATATATATATATATATATACATATACATATAAAAATATGTATGTATATGTGTGCTTCAGCAAGATAAACGCACACATAAACACACTCACACGCGTACAGACACACGCACAAACGAACACACACATATCCATACACGGACATACACACGCGCGTATAGGTATACACATAAAAAAACACAAACACACACACAAGCAGACACATGATATATATATATATATATATATATATATATATATATATATATATATGTATGTATGCGTGTGTGTGTTTGTCTGTGTTCACACATAGATTTATATATGGGCGCGCATAGACGCTTATGCTTATGTATCTCTTTAGCCTCATGTAAATAGTGTACAACAATAATTCATATCTATTGATCTAATGTACCCACATATACTTACGTATGTATTCACGCTTATGTAAATAGTACATAGTACAATGGTTAAAAAAATATATAAGATATTCTAGGTAATCCTATTGTTTATTTCATTAAAATACATT